TATTTCATTAAAAGCTGCAGCAAATTAGGCCTTCACTGACACAGCAATTCTGTTGGAAAACTTGTACACCATGTTGCCAGTACACTGTGTAAGCCACTAATGTGAAAAAGCTTATCTTCTGTATCAGACAGACTAACACAAAACAAACCTTCAACTGTCAGTGATGGAAAGAAGTAGATCCTAAAACATTTTTATATTGAACTTCTTGAAATTTAAGATAAATTTCTTTCAAGAAAGGAGAAAAAAAAAAGAGGAAAAAAAGTAGCGAGCAATGAAACTGTTTAAAACTACCAGCTACTATCAGCCAAAAAGGGTGCAGTTTAGCTAAACAGATAAAATGTTGCTTAAAGACAGTCTCATGGGCAAAATGTAATGCACCATAACATGTATTTCACACTCCCAAACTAAGAACGTGTGCAGCTGTCTTTCACACTGCAAGTCATGCCAAATCAACCCAAAAAGTAATAACCCAGTTTAAATTTGTAGGATATTGAAGCAGCAGAAATGCTTAAGTAGTATAATGACAAAAGAACATTAAATCTCTCCAAATTGATCAGAAACAGGAAGTCCGCAAAGGAATTTGCAAGTCCAAGAAAAAAACAAATATGAAAGGAGCCTTTGAGAATTTGAAGGTGGCATCACAAAAGTCAAATTATTTGTTTCTGATACAGAGCTTTCCAAAAGCTTTTAATGACTAAGAATGAATGAACAAGGACCTGCTTGAAACATTTCAGAAAAAAAATTGTGAATAAGGACCAAGTCATTAGGATTTAATAGTACTTTTTATCACCAACTGCACAGCATGAAGTTGAAGAACAGTAATGTCTCAAAAAATCTTGACAAGTCCCTGAAGGAGTCAGCACCTAAGCACAGAACATGACTCAAAGAAGCATTATTTTCAGGCTTCAGATAGGTCCTTTGAGGGCATATTTTTTTAGGTTTAGTATCAAAAAAAAGCAGAACCCTGGCTGCAGATTCCAAAAGATTTCAATTCTGACAAGATCCTTGTGGACAGAGCAGAATATGGAATTTAATGCCACTTAATGCATGACAAATCTGGAAAGGATTTCCAACCCTAATTCTAAGATAGCTTCTGATTCCTTCAGAAAGTTCTGGAAGTGTAGACAGCTCACTGAAAACATCATGCCAAGCTATCATATGTAAACAAACTTACTGGTTAAGGAAAACAAGAATGAACATTTAAAAATTAGTCTAGCCTGAATACTATCAATTAACGCTGAATCTGAGAGAAGCAACATTTAGAAGTCCTGTACAGGGCAGATATAAAACCACAATCACATAAGGCAAGACCAAATAGACTAAAACCTAGTCCTTGAGCATGACTGCAGGGGACACAGGTCTGTATAACAACTCACAAGGCTTGCAGGAAAATGATTCATTGTTTCTCATAGCAGGATCTAGACAGTTGTCAGACAGGTTTAATATAATGAAGAGAAAATGCTCCTGTATACCCTTCAAATTCAGTTTTGTCTTTTAACAAAATGCAAGTTCAGAAAAAGAAGTAGACTTGGGTAAGCCTAGCAGGCCACTAACAGAGGAAATTACTACTCACTCTTCAGTGTATGTTTACATAAAGATAACAACTCACTGGGGGATAAATCTGACTCTGTGTGTGTGTATACATATACATGTTTGGTCCTAAATCCACACTAACTCACTTTCCTGTGTCGGCAGTGGGGAGCACCTGACAGCTACTTCTGACTGTATTTTGTATTCTTGCTTGTGCATTCTAAGGAAAATTAGCTAGTAATACAAAGCATTTAATCATTTTATGTAACGAGCTACCATTGACGAAAATGCTTTTAATGTTTACTTAGGCATAAGCAACTGAAAAGCACATACGAGCTTCCAATTGGTCAACAATATTAAACTTGCTCTTCAAGGACTTTCCCGCTGATTGTGCTTTACATGGAATACTGCAACATTTTCCTTTTTGCTCATTTAAAATATGCAAGTAATGGGAGGGATTCTTGCTAACTTGTTCTTTACAGCTTGAGATAATCCTTTTGTAGAGAACATGCAACACATCAAGCCTCACGAAATAACTCAGGTTGATCTTAGTGCTTTTGCGTTACAAAATAATTCAGAAAACCCAGACATTAAAAATAAAATATTGAAGGCCGCTTTCAGTGGATTTGCAAATTTAAGATTAATCTTATCAAGTTTGCACACAGCAAGAGAATATTTCTGTGTGGCAGCACAAAAGTGTTTACATCCATCCATGAAACAAAGCCTTCATACAGGAAGCACCTCAATAAGAAACCTTCGGAACACGCAAAATCCTGGTAGTATACCCACATTTTATTTCAATTGTTCCACAAAGACAGTAATAAATTACAGAAGTTTTTGTTAAGAAACCTGTTTTGACAAATGGTAAAGTTTCTGTTTAAATAGATCATTGAAGACATGTAGTTTTAGACATTGCTTATGTCAATTCCACTTCCAAGACGATACATCGAAGGTGATAAGTGGAGTCATCTCATATGAAGTCAGAAATCAGCCACTCGGAAAATCATAAGGTGAGGTTTAATATCAGTTCAAGTCCCTGGCATGTTCTAGTTTCCTCCCTGTAAAAGAAGTTCTATTTAATTTGCAGTTGGCATCATGCACACAGGAAAGGGGTGACTGCCCTAAGGTTGAGCTACATGAACCTTCTGCGTGACACTAACTTTTAAGTCAGAGTCATTTTTCAATACAAATTACTTCCTTTGTACAGGAAGGGATTTTCTTTTCACATACCATTAGTATGGATTCTGTTCCAGAGGACCAGCCTTATTAGAATAAATACATCCAATAACTATCCAAAGCTTTCCTCAGATTTTTTTGGTATTGAGATAGATATATAAAGTTTTAACAGTTACCACACAGGTTTTCCATTAGTTCAAACTATTTTGTTTTGTTTTCCAGTGAGGAATAAGTTAAAACTCCTTTAGATATAGAAGGCAATGCATTCACTAACATCTGATAATCCTTTTCACATTACATACCTGGAGACAAAAAAATTTACAAGAAACTCTTCATTCAAGACATTGATCGCATAGGTTCACAAAGAACCAGACTTGAGAAACCTGAAAAAGATTTACACAGAATTGATATTAAGACTCAGATAACATAACCAGAATACATTTCAAAAATCTTCCTACAAGCTATTAATAAAGTTGATTTAGTAGCTTCATGAAGTTTAGTAGTTTCATAAATGTGTTCCTCCCAAGCATGATCCAAAGAAGGGTTTCAACCTCACCTCTGGGTTTGCAGGAGAACTCTTATACCCCTCTGTGTTGGCCACTTAAGACACTGCCAGACTTAAGAGGGCAAAGCATAAAAGGGGAGTAGATTACACTATATTATATTGGTTTCTTAGTAACTAAGATGATCTGAATTTACCATTTACTCAAAAGAGATATTACAATTTGCTTGAAATTTGTGAATTATCAAAGAGCAAGATTTAAAATTATCTGCAATTGTCATTAAACTAGAGCACACTTACCTTCCAGTAGAAGGTATTATTTATTCCTAAGAAGCCCCAAGCATTGCTTCACATTTAGGTCTGATTATCCATGCGTAGAATATTTCTTGCGTGACGTTGCTAAGTCGGGCCTCTAAACAACACACAAAAAAATTAATAAGATTATAGTAAAATTATTAGTGTTTAATTAGACTTTCTCAAAGCCATATTATACGGAGTTGCTACTATGTTGGGTTAGACTTTTACAGTAATTTTCTACAAAGTTGCAGAGGTTGTTTACATGAAGCTTATCAAATCAAAAGTAATCAGTTTTTTAATCTGTCAAGTTGTTTTCATTAGCCTGTTTAAAATACATAAAATATATTTTTAATATCTTTTAAAATAATACTACTAATCAGACACAATGAAAAATTTATTAAGCCCAAATTCTTTTTTGTGCTGACGCTACCCTGAAGCTATAAATGTCCAGAGTAGACTGTCTTCACCAGAGAATTCATTGCTACCCTGTGTCTACTTACATATATATACACAGCTTGTAACAAGTTATACACAGAGCTCAACCAAGAGGTATCAAAAGACACTGTTACAGATATACTAAAAGACTGGAAAGAAAGCCCAAGCCTACAGCATTTAATACTCTAAACACTGCAGGGTCTAAGTGTAATATTCTTGACGCACCCTATAAAAATACAAAACCACTGCAGTGAATTCAGATTCAGGGTCTGTGCAGCTCAATATCTGCAATTCAAAGAACAGAAGGGTGCAAATGCACACAAACACTGTCTTGTCTCAGAGATACAGGGCAGTATCCCCATAAATAAGTTTGCCTTTAAAAAGCGTCGGGATTTAAAGCCTATTGAAGTCAGAAGCCTTTTGTAACCAACCCCAGCCTGTAGGGGAGCGGAGGAGGTCGGTGTGCCCCTCACCCATGAGTGTCCAAATGCGTGGCCACACATCTCCAGCGCTTCCCCGGGCCCAGATCCGCCTCGCTCGGCCTCCTGCCCGCCGGGGACATTGTAAGGACTCGCCGGTACCTCGGGACACACTGCGGAGGGAGAGAAGCGTCAGCCTGGGACAGTGAGGGGGCCGCGGAGAGGGCGAGAGGGGTCGCTTGTGCCTCACGACAGGATGCAGGGCGGAGAGGAGGGCTCCGCACTGGGTTTTTGTGAGGGAGAGCTGCTCTATCCCCCTGTGTTGACTCCCCGGAGCACTGTCAAGCTCCGAGAGGGCAAGATGTGAAGGGAAGGTGGTGCAGGTCCCGCACCCCCCTGCTCCCCCCCGCGCCCTCCCCCAGCCCGTCCTTGCAGAGCGAGCGGCCATTGCGGCCTTACCGCACCGGAGGCCTGCAGGTAAAGAGAAACCGCGGTTCCCCACGTGGCCTTAAATACCGCCCCGCGCTCTCGCGAGACCCCGCGCGGCGCACTCCTCCGCTGTCTATTGGCGGGGCTGACGCGCGTGACCCCGCGCGCCGCGGGGCGGTGCCGGTGAAGGCCGCAGCTCGGAGCCCCCGAGGGCAGAGCGTCCAGCGGGGGCGGGGGGAGGGGGCCGCCCGCTTCCGCCTCTGCCAGGAGCGCTCCGGTCGCTCAGTCGCGCTCCCCACGGCGCTCAGTCAGGCGAAGCCCTAATGGGTCATAACGGGGCTTTCGTCGGGACGTGATCGTCCACCCCTGCCCGGGCCGAGCTCTGCGTGCTCGGACGTCTCTAGCGCAGGAAAACAAAAGCGTGTTCGGTGAGAAGTAGCAGCTGTGTAGCGGTTTTGAGGCAATAAATACGGCTGATCTCTGTCTAAACTCCCGTCTAAGCCCTGCTTAGGAGGCTTAAGAGCTGTCTGTGAGGATGGCGAGGTAAAGCCTCGAGCCTCGCTAATGCCCCTGGCAGAGCACAAGCAGCTCGCTCCGGGGCTGCAGGTCACGGGTGACACGGTGGCACCAGGCCTGTCCTGCAAGGCAGCGCTCAGCGTGGGTGCAAAGGACTGCTGCTCTGCCCCAGCTAAAATGGGCTCCCTGGCTGGGGCTGTTGCTGAGAGGGCTTGGGGTGAGTATGAGCAGATGAGCATGAACTGGGAATTAGTAATTTGTAACACAGAGACTTCACATAGAATCATAGAATATACTGAATTGGAAAGGACCCATCAGGATCATCAAGTCCAACCCCTGATCTTGCGCAGGACACCCCAAGAATCACACTGTGTGCCTGAGAGAGTTGTCCAAACTGAATTGAAGTCCCTGCTTCACAAAAAAGTGTATGTATTGCTGAAAAAGGTGTATATATTGATGATAATTCATAGATTCCTGTCTTGGTGAGAAACCGAGATGTCTTGGCTCACACGGAGTTCCTATCAGCACAGCTCCTCTAAGTGTGTGGAAAGAAAGTAACAGTCGGCCCACTATCTTTAATCCGGACCCTGCATTTAAACTACCCTCAGCAGATCTAAACCAACATGATTCATTCTGAAACAAACAGTCACATAGTTGCAACGAAGGGATGGTTCTAGAAATTGTTTCTTACCATGTCTAGTTACTTTTGTCTAATTCTTGATACTCGAAACATTATTGCAGTTGTAGTCCCTGTGCCCTGCATTGTCAGGAAGTCAGGATTCAAGAGTTGTCTCAGGACTCTAGATAAGTCAGTCTCTGGAGATGAATTTGTGAGACACATAGTTCCAGGTTATTTCAGGTGGGGTTCTCTGCAATGACCATTTTGTACAGCCAGACACCTGAATCAGATCAGTACTTTTTTATAATGTAGCAAAAAACCCCAAATGGTATTCAACCTTTAAATTTTTACCACTTGCACCAGTGGGATTTATGTCAAGTGTAGTTTCTTCTTTTCCAGTACAGAATGTAAACTGACACCTCTGTTAGCACAGCAAACCAGTGATCAGTATCCATGCCAGGTGAGCATTTTAATCATTCGCGTAATCCTACACCTTTTTCTTGCCCTGCACAAGCTTTCTTCTGTCTTCCCCATACAAACTTTGCATTGTTTGCCTTCTCTCTGGTTCCGTGAAGCTTACTTTTTTGTCTGATAGTGGCACAACTTCAAGAGGAGGAATGCGGAGGCTATCTGACCTGTCTGTCCTTTTCTACTCTCTGTAGAGTAAATTACTGTCCTACCAAGAGGTAGATGTGGATTTGTCAATTAGTATAATGTTTTCACTAGCAAAAAAGATAAGCAAGATTCAGAGATCAATTTAATGCAAAGTTTTATTTTCTGTGCTTTATCTTTAGAATCCCAACAAGTCATGCTGTCACCAAAATATGAAGCTTTACAGTATTTTCAATTAAGAGCAATAATTTCTCAGATAATTTGAAAATATTGGTTAGAGGTTGCTTTGAAGATAACAGTCTTAAAGAAGAATAGTGATTCCAAAGTTGGGTTGCTTTTTTGGTTGTAGACTCCCCACATCTTCTGTGGATTTCCATGAATTTTTCATGGACTACAGCTCCCTCTTACCATTAGAATTTCAGGTGCAAATGGAGTAGTTTCCATGGACCTGTTACAAGCCATGCACTACAGACTCAATCCATGGACTGCAAGTTAGCATTTGGCATTGTACTAAAGCTCCCAGTCTGTTCTGCAGTGGGGGCCAAGCTTCATGGAAAATCCTCCCTCATGCTTGTGTCTACATATCTACCATCCTATTAAAGATATATTGCTATTTTTAGTAGAATATAATTTAAAATGAGATACAAAATATATATTAAAAAAATTGTAAAATTCTAAAGCTACATTGTCAGCACTGAAAGTATTTCTGATATTTGAATTATCTTTTAATTCTTATTATACATTTTCCAATCTTCCAGAAAACCTTAGTGTTGTTTTAACTGCCTTTTCAATTGAAATGGTCTTTTAATTGGCTGGAAATATATCCTAAGTTTGATTCTGTTCCAAACACTTGTTCAGCAAAACAACTGATGATTACCCATTTCTGGAACTGAGTTTATTACAAGAAAAACATCAATGAACCCTCTGTGGAATTTTTCAAGATTTTTGGAGATGAAATGCAATATCATCTTTGTAGTACAGAGTGAGCAGATATTCTAGTCCCAGATTTGTTACCATCTTTGCAGTGTAACTTTGGACAAGTCACTAAATTTTTGCTGCCTGTTTTTTTGCTTTGTAAAAGAAGCTAATATTAACATGCCATCAAATAATTTAACAAGTTTGAGTGAATGCTTGCAAAGTACTCTGAGAAAGTCAGATGGAAAATGTTATGAAAGTCCATGCCTCTGCTAGCCAAAGAGGATATTTACAGTAGATTCTTATTCTATGTAGCAAAATAAAAATGTTGAAGTATATAGCCAGATGAGACCAAGATGGATCTAAAATTAAATGCAGGAGGATTTTTTTTTACCTTTCAACAGAAATTATATAACCACTCTTAGGTTATAAATAGTCCTTTGTTTTACTTCTCTTTGTCTAACACTCAGAAGAAACACAGGGTTAGTTGTTTGTTATGAAGATACAGTGCAATGCTTTAGAGTGGAAACAATTGTGCACTGTTCTTTATTTATGCAGTTCCTCTAATGTTTGTAAGTACCATTTGTTGCATTGCTTAGCACTTTTTTTATCTTCAAAAAGCTACAGAAATAAAGTTTCTAGTTTTGGAAATTACAACAGCAGAAGAAAACAAAACCACACACCAGTCCATTTCAAGCCTGAATGTTTCTTTCTTCTTTCCTGGTTTGATATGTGACTGAAGAACAAAAAAGTCCTAAACTCTTGTCAAACTGACACATAAACACTCATATATTATTTCCTATTTTTATTATTAATCCTAAGAAATAACATATTAAATGTGTCCCCCTTTAAATTAAAGTATTTATATTAGCATTAAGGAAAACAATACTGAATTCTTCACAGAATGATGTGTGTTTACAAATATTTCCTTCAACAACCAGTAAGTGCTTAACTAGTAGCAGTTTCATTTCTTGTTAAAAAAAAACACTTTAACAAACAGAAATGACCTGAAAATTTACTCTGAAGTCAAGTAATTGGCATTAGTCAGAAAGCAGAATGATAAGAATACCACCTTTTCCTTACTTTTTTTTTTCTTACTTTGTATGATTTCTCTCGTGTTCATATTATGGAAATAATATCCTTGACCTTTAGATACATGTGACACAAATGGCTTTATTAGACACTGCATTTTGTTTCATTTAAATTTTTAATCACCTTTCAAACCCATTCATTTGCTCCATAACTTTCCACTGAGAGCAAGTGTGATTCTCTACAGTAAATTGGAATAAATTGGCTGCAAGCAAAGAATACATGATTAGGCTTCAGAAATAAAAGGAATCACAGTTTAAAACCCAGGTACATTGCAGTACTGTCCAATCTCTGCAGGCTATTTAGAAATGCCTGGAGACAGATCAAGCCTTGATTGCTTCAGAACTGAGGCCAAAGGTGACCAGTCCTGAAGTGACACTTCAGTTTAAGTCCCATTTCCCACAGCTATGCTGAGAAAACCTGTCATATTACATGTAATCCAACCCTTTGACTTTAAGCAAATTAAACACTTGGGATCAAACACATATGATGTAAAATTATTAATTTAACAGATTATACCAAAGATTGGGTTTTTTCTCAGCACTATGTTATTTGATGGCTCTTTCGTGTAGTGGTTTGTGGATTTATGTAGCAGTTTAGTGGTCCTGATGACTTCACTCTATTAAGTCTGAAAATCTTTCTCCATTCTGTATTTCATATGTCTGTAGTGATTTAATGTAACTAATCCAGCTTACTGAGGAAAGAAAGTTCTCTCTCCATGACAACTGACTGCATTTTGGGTTTCTTTGCTGAAGCTGTCAACAGGAGACCAACTAATGCCAAATTTGATACCATTTCTATAAAGTAGGCACCTGTCCACAAGGAGCTGGATTGGGGCCACTTACCTAAAGTTGTTCTAGGGCAGGAATTTATCTTTAGATGCTACTGCTGATGCCAGATTTTTATTAGTAATCTTCTAATTAGTAAGACCTTCTCTTGAAATAAAAATAAAATCACTGACTCCAGAAGGTTTCCTGTAAATAAAGCCTGTGGAGCAAGGCTCTTATAAGCGCAGTTATTATATTCATCATGTAGTAAAAAGTATAGCCAAGCATAAGCATGCCATACTTCAGGTGCTATTAAGAGCAGAGATGCCTGTAGAACCATTAGCAGTTCTCTCTCTTCATTTGAGTGATTACATCAGCATAGCAGAGGAACAATAAACAGGCCTTAAGCTTCTGCTGAAAACAGCAATAATTGCTAAGGAAAAGGGGAATTCTAAGATGAGGATTCCCCTAGCTGAACTCCATTCTTGCTTCTCTCAGAGATTTGCTGTGTGACCTCAAGTTAGCTATTTAACAACCTTGTGCCTATTATCCTGTGTGTAAACTTAATACACTCATACACTCTACCTTGGAGAAAAACATGGACCTCGACTTGCTTGTGTTTGAAGGGAAACTGAGATTATTGCATTAACGGTGCCACATGTTGCGAATTTGTGAGTGAGCACTAAGACATGTGGTGTGGACACGGTCCCAAAGCAGCATTTGTGAAGATAAATGTTATCTGCATGAATGGCAATACAAAGCAACAACTGTGGGCTGTAAATTACATTCCAGCCTACTGTTCTGGGGTTTGCAAGTGCTTGGGCTCCTGTGTAACTCTAATCAGGTGAAGAGAGCATGTCCCAAAGCACAGTGCTGTCGTCACTGCCACACATTCATGTCCTCCTGCCTGCACTCTGCCTTCCTGTCCTTCGCCCTACTACCTGCAGGTATTATTTTGTACGCATTCAGGCCCGAGTTTTGCAGCCTCGTGGCCATTCCAGGCCCGGCGACTGAGGCACCAGGAGCCCCTCGGAGCGCCCGTGCGGAGGGGCGGCAGGCGCAGCCCCCCCCGCGCCCCCTCGGCCCCGCAGCGCATTGGCTGCGGCGGCGGCCGCCCCGCCGGGGGTGCCCCGCACCGGGCACTGCCTCTGACCTTCCCTTCCCTTCCCTTCCTTCCCCGGCGCTGTCAGAGTGGATCAGCGGGCGCGGCGCTGCGATGGAGCGGCGAGCGGTAGCGGCAGCCGCCAGGAGGGGAGAAAGAGGAGGAGGAGGAGGAAGGGAGAGATTAGCGCCGTGCCGGCTGGCGCAGAGACGCGGCTGAGCGCTCCAGCGGGAGCCCGGGGCCCTGCGGACCGTGCGAGAGGCAGAGGCGGAAGGAGCGGAGATGCGGCCACTCTCCCAGCGTTGCTGAAGCTCCCGGTGACCCGCCGGGGGGAGGGAGGCCGGGAAGGTCCGTCCTTCTCACTGCTCTGCGGGCACAAAGGGTGCCTGTGCAGTCCCCTCCTCTTGGTTTTACCCAGCCCCGGAGCAGGAGCCGCCGCCGCCCCCTATCCCTTCCTGCGCTCTTCCCACCATGAGCGGGGCTGTTTTCACCTTATAAAGATGGCGGTGTGGGATCGCTGCAACCTTTAGACTAATGACTGTCAGAAACATCGCCTCCATCTGTAATATGGTGAGTGCTGGCGGGGGCCGGGCGGCACGGCAGCCCCGAAGGGGCCGACAGAGGGGGGATGCCCCAGGAACGCAGCCAAACGGAGGGACCCCGTCCCTTGCCCCCGTGGCGGGGGAGCCGGGCAGGCTGCGCCGGGACGTGCCTGGGGTGGAGTTGGCCGATGGAGAGTGACGATGTCCAGAGGACTTTTCCCGGCGCAAGCCCGGGCGTGGGCCGGGGAGGGACGGAGATGCAGAGCCGGTGCCGGTGCCCGGAGCGGGACGCGTTGCCCACGGAGCCGTGGCCCACCCTCTCTTCTCCTGCACTTCCTCCTGCCTTTCCTCCTGCCTTAATAATCCTGCGAAAGGACCCAAGTTGAGTTGGGAATCCACATTAAGTCAGTGACCCCGTTTAACCCTCTCAGGCAGGCACCCTGTGGTCTCATGGGGCCAAGAGCTCTCCAGGTTACACAAAAAACGAATAACACCCCTTTGGATCCAAATGCTCTGGATCTGTTTTAGGAAGTCTTAGCTTAAGAGCGGACAGGGTTTAACTTGCACTGCATGCCACTCAAAGAGGACTGCTGTTTGTTAAGTACTCTTCAATCACTTAGCTTTCTCTAAACCAGACTAGGCAATTAGGAAAGAATAAGGAAACATTAACATTTTTGTTTGTTATGTTCAGACTTTTGTACTTTCCATCCTTTGAAAGGACGCTTTCTGCACTGTTCTTGGGTTTCATTTTAATCCTAACAAACTTTGAGCATCTGGTTGGGTTTAGGTTTTTGAAAATTCTTGGTGGGAAGAGGGGGAGCTCAAACTTTGTTAAAGGTTTATTAATACAGTAAGACAGTAGCAAACTCACAAAAGAACTGGTTGTGTGCAAGCACCCCAATTCAAACAGAAGAGAAGCCTGTTTCTGTACATTTTTTTGTTTTAGTCTGTATTTTTCCCCCTTATTTCCAGGTTCTTCAAGAGCAGCTATACGCAGTTGCCAACTTCCCTCCATGTGGTGCCCCAGCATGCCTTGTGCTGGTGATGCCACACATACCATTCATCTGCCCTGGAGAATGGAGCCTACCTCTAGGGTAAGGCAACAGGCACAGCCCCAGAGGCCTGGCTCCTGTGGGGTCAGCAGCAGTGGTCTGGGGGAGGGAGTGCAGATTGCAAGCCTGCTCCCCCTCCCAAGTGCCCACACTTCCACTTGAGTGGGCTTGTTCTTTCATTTCTAACCGGATGCCTGGGACATCCCATGCATAGTTTTGACTTAAGCCTCAGTCCTCCCTTTGAAATGCCTACTCTGAAATGCAGACAGGAAGAGTTGGTTCTGGGGTTAAAAAAATTAATACAACATCCAGATTTGGGGTAAAATAATCTGAATTCTCATCTTTCTTCACCAACAGTAAGAAGTTTTTTGAACTTTTCATTGTTCTTAATGATTACCAGTCCAATGGGCGAGGACACTGAAAAGAGAGGTTTAGGAAACAGTACAGGACTGAGGAGAAAACCTGGGCACACTTACCTTCCTTCTGAGGCAGGCTTCAGTTTTTACTGCTGATTAATGGTCAATGTGATGCCCTGCAAACTGTATAAAAGAGCACCACATGAAGGGGAGCTGGAGACTCATAGGTGGTTGTAAGACATTAATATTGGCATAAAGTACTAGGAACTCCATGGTTTTTTCATGTGCTTCAGACAGATGCACTTGTATGCAGTATGCTTCTCTCAAAGACTGAACAGATTCATAGCAAAACTGATGAGGTTGTTCTAGTGGTGTACTGCTCAGCTGTCACTGCCAGTATATCTTGCAAAAGTAGCATCTGAGAAATGGAGAAACTGAAGGGAAGAATGAGAGCCTCAGGCAGAAAAGGCATACAAGAATTCATACTTCAAGGCAATTCTAGCTCGTGGTACTGTGACAGAAGGTGAAGTTGTTCTAATGATAATGATGTTTTTAGGCTACATATTCCTTTGGGTCTATGTACGTAGTTTTTAAAGATGTTATGTTGTGTTGGTCACATTTAGTCTATTCTGGATAACCCACAGGGATTGGAAGTTCTTTTAGGCAAAAAGCAGAACAGCTACAGAAATTTGGGGCTGTAAGAGAAATAGAAATTCGTGGAAGTATTGACAACACTGCATTATGGCTTGTCCAAAAATGTGTCTACTTGGGTCAGGTGGTGGACTTGAGCTTAGTGGTTTGTAGGAGGAGCTACAACCACCTTCCAGGAAGCTAGAGGTATAAAAGTAAACCTTTTGCCTGTATAAAACCTGAATATTTGCAGTGCTAGTTTGTTTTAGGGCATCTGTGGAAATCTACCATACAAAGATCTTAATTCCCAGACCTTGTTGCTGCACTATAATATAGTACTTGAAAAACTGAGCTATTACAGTTTGTGGACTAAGAAATGGCTGTATAATTCTTAGGTAATATAATATATATATAAAATTTATATATATATATAATATTATATATTTTTGTATATAATGCTGCTTGTTAGTATGTTTGTAAGTTTTTTAACCTCGTTGAACTTAATAATGAAAAAAAAAGTCAAGGTCTTTCCCATTCCCATTCCCATTCTCATTCCCATTCCACTTGAGAGTGTTCACAGAGATTTTTTTCTTAATTTTTGCAAAAAAAAAAAAAAGATGATGTCTGGTTGATTTTCTGATTGGGTGGGGGAAAGTATGGAAAGAGACACAGAGGGTCCTGAAATACTTGTCCCTCTCTGAATGCAACATAGATTATGTTTTCAATGGTAGTCCTTTATTGACAGAGCTTTTTGTGTGTTTGTCCAAGTGCTTTTGTGTCCTAAGGGAAAAAATAGCTGAATTTTGGCTGAATTAATTACTAATTTAGCTCAAGAGAACCTGTCTAGTCAACATTTTAAGATACACATTTGCTATTTAATTGACTGCCTGATGTTTGGTATCTTGGGTTGCAATTTTGATCTCCTGTAGATGGTAGAGATGGTTAGTCTTTTCAGGAAGGATCAAAACAGGCGTAGTGGAGCAAGGAAGCCAAGGACAGTATTTAACTTCCTTGCAAAAGAGCTTTAGTACTATGTATTCACTGGATAAGCTCTCATATGCTGAGACAGACACAGTAGGAACTAACCAGGAAGGAAAAAATATTTGGGGCAAATTTCCACTTAGCGCATTTACTTGTAGTAAATATTTAACTGCACAACTTTCTAGAATTAAACAAGATTCCTCTATTGGCTTTTACCAGTTTTATTCCCTGAATTTTAATAATAACAATAGTACTAGTTATTATGCACTGATTGGCCTAATGAGACCTAAGAGGTAAAACTTGTTCTGGGGGTGGAGGGGATGAAGGCAACTGTGCCTGAAGGAATCAGTGGAACTCTGTGTGGGCATGATGACCATGCTCATTGAAAAGGGAGGTCTGGTCCCCAAGATGTTCATTTTACCTGCCTTTCAGACACTGTAAAAGCTTCTTCACTCTGTCTGCGCACCATGTTCACCAGAGGGATGTATGCAATAGGCAATTGTCACCTTTTATGTAGGATAGGTACAATAGATGTGAAGAAGCATAAGATACACTGGAGAAACCCTATCTGAGGGAACACCAACATCCAGTGCCATGTAACGCTTGAAGACACCAAATAGGGTTGTGATTTAGCCCCTACAGTACTGTAATCCTCTTTGGTTATTGTTTCTGTAATGTAACCAGACAACTCCAGTATAAAATGCTGTTTCAAAGGTGGATAGGCATGCTGGCATTTTAAGGCTGTTTCTTACTGAAATACTCTGCAGTATGTTTCTCTGTTGATGAGCTTTAGGTACAGTCTTGAGTTCTGAGTTAAGCTCATGCTGCAGCTGTGCCCTAGGGATCTTATTGTTACGTGCAGTGAAGGACACCTAATAATTTCAGAATGTATTGACATATATTTTTACAGATCTGGCTAACAAGCTCTGTGAAGCATTCTCTCTTTTAGAATTCAGTTGAGAACAGGTATTAACCCCTTCTTTCATAATTTTGTAAGAGTATTTCAAATAATCCAATCTGCACTTCAGACTGTTCTGTCAATTTAATAAATGGGTTACTCTGAACACATTCGGATTGCTTTTGATTTAAGGTATCATCTGAGAAGCCCGGTAGTCCCTGCATTCTGGAAACAAATAAGAATAAATGTTGGATTTGTTTGTTTGTTTGTTTTTAATAGCACGATTTTAGAGACTCATTGTAGAGTTTGTTTAAATATAGAGCACTGGCAGAATGAAGACTCAAGCCTACAAACATGGATTTGGAAAATGCTTGACATAAAAAAATTTACAATTTTAATTGTAAAAATAGTAACATTCTGCTTCATATAATAAGAATGTTTATTAATTTGAACAATCTGCAGTGTGTATTTCTTCATGTTTTTTACATCTTCTCATAAACAGAGATAAAGGCAAAATAGTACATGCCAAGACAGTAAAACAGCTATCTGAAGGCATATTTAGATTGATAAAGGAAAACCAATTTGTTAAATCTGTAAAAAAATTAGTTACAAAGAGTTCAGGCAAAGTAATGTTAGAAGCATAGTCTCAAGACTGCACAATTTCAGTATGACATACATATAAAATACAGAAAAAATATGAAAAGGACAGAGAATATGAAGTCTAATTATTGTAATACCTTTCTGAAGTAATGAGAAACTTGAGAGTATGGCTGACAAACAGGTACTAGACTTTCAAGTAGAAAATATGCATTCCATCAAAAGTTAAACAGATGTCCACAAAAAATGTTTTTTCATTGGATAGAGTCGGATGTGCAAAATGAGAAACATGCAAATACATAATTTTCAATGGATAACCTGGAATAAAGGCTGAGCTCGTCTTCCATGAATACCTTTGTTATGATTAAAGTGGTTATTACACACTTACTAGCTGTTTATAAGATAAGCACAGAAGGGCAGTTCATTAATACAATGTGTGCTTTACAATGTGTTTCTTTTAGATGCATGTAGTCTTTGGCTTCATGTTGGTGAATGAAGAGTAAATCAGAGGTTATGCTAAACACCTGAATAAAGGAACCTCTTAATTACAGCCCAGTAAGTGTCAGGGTTGACAGCAAGCCTGTCAGCAGCCTGGCATTTATCTACGAAGCAGTGGACATAAACCAAATTACAGGATACCCCTGAAAGGAAGAGAACACAGCATGCAGAAGAATGTGGGCAACTTTCAGACAGGAAGAAGATGGAAGACAGAAATGGACTTCCTGTACTTTCTGCAAGTCAGGATGACTGGACAAAAGCTGTGTTTACTAGTTTGCAACCAATCCTGGTGTGTGTATACATGAAAGTACCAATAGAAGGTTGACATGTGGATGGCCTGATGGCCTGATCTATGTGTACCAATAGCAGGATGACATGTGTATAGCCTGATATATGTTTACATGGAAGGCACCAATAGAAAGTTGACATGTATGATATGTGAAAAGTATAAATGTTTGCAACCTGTTACAATAAAGTGTTTACAGCCTTCTTGTAATCCTGTCCCTGCTTTGGAAGAAGATTCTGTGTCGCTCTGCCCATCCCGAATTTAACAGCAACAAGTAAGGCTGAGTGAGCCTGAATTGTGGAAGAGATGGGATTAAAAGCAGACTCTGGACCCTGATTAACTGTTTGTGGTGGGCAAATGCCATGCAGGAGGTGAGGTTCTGATGGATATGAAGAGTCACTACCTGGAGTGTGATTCAGTTTGAGACAATCTGGAGGGGCAGAGACCTCATACAGAAGTCTCCTCCCTTGAATTCAATACCCCTGTTTTCTCCAATATACATGGAGAGACCAAATATGCCCAGATGTAAGTGAAAAAAATAACTCTTTACCAAGAAGAATGCTGATAACCATACTGATAAAAGTGGGTTAAACCGAACGGTGAGGAGAAACTTTCCAAGCTCTGCCCACCGGACCAAATCAAAATGGCATCCGGCCTCCCCCGCCCAGAGAAAACACACCTGGCCACAGGACAAAGACAAGATGGCTGCCCTTCCAAGTGATTTTCTTCCCCCACGCTCAGAAGATTTGGCAGGAAAGGTTGGAGAGCCAGTGCTGGCAGGAAATGGCAGATGCTTGTGTGGCCCTGGAGTGAGGCTGCGGTGCTGGTAAAGGCAGTTGAAGCAGGACTGCAGACCCCTGGGTGATTGGAAGGACCCACAAGACACCCACTAGATCCAGTAATGAGACTTGGTTGTTGCAATTTCAGTGTTCAGTGGTCAAAGCAGTGGCCACAGTCCAGATCAGTCGAAGTGGTGGTGTAAGCCCCAGGTGATGAGGGAAGCCCTGAAGCCCAGAGTTATATATGCTCAGAAACACGGAACATGGGAATGCCTCTGATACCTCCCCTGGGGCAGGGAGTTTTACACTGGATGATGTAACACTGGGAGTAACAGGATACTTTGTGAGTCTTCTGAGATGTTGCACCTGTCTCTAACATCAGTGCAGCTGAGTCCATAATGGCTCATGAACAAGAGAGGAAAACCTTCAGGCTAGGTGTGAATCTTCCAGGAAGTTACCACAGCTGAGTCATCCAGGTAAAGAAAAAGAAACACTACCCGACCTCACAGGATTTGCCTCTTTCCTTACACTACCGTCTTCAACATGCAGCTTATACCCTGAGGTGTTGGATGTGCATGCCTTCAGCCCCTGGCCTGGGTGGCTAACCTGCACATTGTTAGCAAAGCACACTGTGGATTGAGCCATGAGCACCAATAGTCCAATCTCTTGAGCAGGCACTGCAGGTGGTCACATGTTTGAGTCATTAATCACTAGCAGTTCAGTCTCTTTAGAGAAGGCAAACCACCAAAGAGCCAAAGAAGCTTATTTGGAGAGAAAAGACTTTTTGTGTAACCCAGGACAGTAAGTCACAGCCAATCAGAGAAGCAGTCAGGAAAGTTTCTTCTACTGATCTTCCTTTAGCCTCAGAAAATGTCTTTAGCTGGCTGTTTGGTAGATACACTTATACACAAGGACTCCCTGAAACAACATCTCAGCCTTGGCCATATTGATCACCATAACTAGTCTACTCTGGCCTCCAATCGGGAGGCCTGGAGACACACCATCTATAATGCAGCTGTGTCCTTTGAGAACACACACAGGATCACTCTTGAGGAGAAAAGGCAACGCAGAAAGAACCGTGTCTTGCAGAATACACCATCTAAGGAGTCTTTCTGCTGTGCCTTTTGCAATCGGATATGTCTGTCTCGTATTGGCCTCATAAGTCACCAACGTGCCTGTAACAAATGTGGATAGTGCCTTCCCAAATCTTCGTTCGCAAAGCCCAGCCATGATGACATTATGTACTCAACACCACAGCATATTAGTGCTTCTGGGGAAGAAATGAGCTTGTATCTCCACCATCAGGCCTGCATTGTAAGCGTGTTCTTGGATTTGCTCAGCCTTTACAGAGAAGGCTGTTGTGCTGAGAGTTTCAAACCAGCCATTACTGGATATTGTGTGTTGCAGTTATTTGATTTTTTGATTTCACAATTGATGACCTAGTAAGAGGTCATCTAAACTCTAAACTCTCCTAGGACAATAAAGTCTCCAACTGTCTATTGGAATTCCATTTGATAAACCTATGTTACTTCTGATGTACAACAGTCAAACTTGGAGATTCCAGTGATGGTGATTACATCATGTTTCCTAATGTCTTACCAGAATCTACATTATAGTAGTTTGAGCTTAGTACTTCTCATCCTGTCCACCATTGAGATTAAGAAGAGACTAGCTGCCTTCTGTAACAAACTGTAGACTAATCTAGTAAATCTAGTTCATAGCTGTATATGATCCGAAAACCTTTGTCAGGCCATGCCTCAGCCTCTTCTGTCTTACGCAACTAAACCCTATTCAACCCTTTTTTATAGGTCACTTTTTCCTAGAGTTGAGTTTTTCATTTTTACTGCCTTTTTTGGATTCTTTCCAGTTATTTTTATCTTCCTTTAAACCAAGCCTGGATTTAGATTCTGTCTGAAGTCTTACCAGTGACAAGTTAAACAGGAAAACTACTTTAGAAACTTTGTGAACTCCCTCTGTGACTCCCATCTAAGAATTTCATTATGTTGTCAATATTTGTTGTTGTGATTTTGGGGATTTTTTAAAAAAACACTGCATAGCTGTGGCTTATTCATCTTATACTACACACAGACTTTCTTTTTTTCAGCTGACTACTACCTCAGTCAGCTGTTTCCCGTTCTGTGCATGTATAGGTGATTCTTCTCTTCATGTGCAGAATCTTCCATTTGTCTCAGCTCTTTAGACAATTTCTCTAAAAGAAAAGCATTACCAAAAAATAATTTTGAATTCTAAACCTGTTCTGCAACATAACTGCAGCCCTCATAACTCATGTTATATGGAGATTTAATTAAGATATTTTTACTTCTGTCTCAGGGTTATCAAAAAGTATTCCAGCTGGTGCAGCTGTGATTGAGTCTAGAAGGTGCCTTGCTTTTGGAATGCTCTGAGGTACCACATATACAATCTAAGTGGCCCAGAAAAAATGTTATTGAAGAAATTATAGCCTGTAAGCAAACCTCAGTCTCTTTTCGACTGGTGAGGCCATCCTGAGGTTATGTGTTCTGAAGAAGGAAATTGGCCAAAACCAATGGTTTTGCTACTTGTTCCAGCAAAAGCCTGAGTGCTGCTAATCCAAAACCAATTAAGCTGGGAATGCAGACAGACTCATGAGAGAATATTGAGTTTGGTAAAAGTTGCATAATCCTGGAAACTTTAATGGTCAATGTTTTTAAAACTTACTTATGTTTTATAAGCTATGTAAGACTGAGTACCTTAAACACTTTGTTCAAGATTTTAAGTGGCTCAGGATTTCAAGGCTGTCAGGTTTTATATGTTTCTTGGTAACCACACAGCTAAGAGCTGAATTTATTTGTGGTATATGTGACACTTATATCTGTGTTTAGAGATAGTTTAGTGCATCCAGCAAAAAAACAAACAAACAAACAACAAAAACCAGCAGGTTAGACATCTCTTTTCAAGCTCTTATAATTTGCCTAATGATAATAAAACTCTTTGGAAGAAATGCACAAAAATTATTGATTTAGATATGTTTTCTTAAATCATTTTTCCTACAAAATAATGAATGCACAGTGCTTTTTCAGCTATGAAGTCCCATAAGTTTTCTCTCTTTCCTATACTCCCTTGTGGCAACAAAGACCCAAAATAACTTTGCTGGAGGAACAATAAAACTTTGCTTCCTAGAACAAAAAGAGAGATAATCTGGTTAAACTCAGTCATCTTGTAGGATGTACACTTTAAAAAATACAGAAAAATTTCAGGTTTGGAATATAATATCAATGAGTTCGTAAGAAGGCTGGTTCAGCTATTTCCATTACTCACATATCCCTCTGAAAGCTGAGGTTGTCCCTGAGGATAGCCAAAGTCCAGCACTGGGGACAAATCGTGTCTATTGAAAGCAGCTGCATATATGCTGCATACTGTGATATTGCTTGCTCTTCCCTTACTCTTCTTTCTTTATGTGGCTTCTGGGAGCTAATTTGGGATTTCATTTAGAGTTGCTTCCTCTCTTTTGAGTTATCCATCACTGCCATTTGTTGACCAGTGCCATTTGTTGTTTCAAATCTTCTTTTTCCCTTTCCTCCCATTATGCTGTGCCTTCCAAAATCCTGAAACTCAGGCTGCCTAGCCCTGAAGCCATTTCTATTTTTACTTTAATTTCTCCTCTACCAGCCTTAACATCACCATTAGTTTGTCTAAAGTCTCTCCCTTCAGGAAACAGCTCTATTTCTAGCATGTTGCTCTCACTTTCCCTGAATACTAAGAAAAAAAAATCTACTTCATAGCTGTATATGAACCAAAACCCTTTGTCATGGACCAACCATCTTTCTTCATTGGTCTCTTTATATATTTGTTTTTCCGTTTTCATGATTCAACTTTTTATATGTTTTTGTCCTTATATTTTTTAGATTTTCTTGTGAACAAGATATTTCCTCTTATTTCTTCTTTTGTCTTTTATTCTTTGAAGTTTATTCTTACTGTGTTTCTGTTTATGTAGTGATACCCATTTAATAGGTGGCTTATAAAAAGTCCTAATTTCTTTACTGCATTCATTTACTTTAAATTAAACATGTGTATATTTCTAGAAAGTTAGTGCAATTTTTTATAGCTTTGTCACAGTACAATGTCTAGCCTGATTTGCTGTCTTCTGATGACAGTATCTTTCATATTAGCTCTATTCTATTTCTCACTTCATAGAATAATTGTATTTAGGTTACTTTGCTACATGTGATTTAATGATCTAATCTGATGTCTTTTTCTCTACTGAACTGTTATTTTGTTTACCTGCTAGGTAAAGGAATGGCAGGGTTGGCTTTTTTGTTTGTTTGGTTTGGTTTTTTTTTTACTTAATCTGTTTCATGTGATACAGCATGCAAATTAAACTCTTAGTAACATTATCAGAAATTTCAACTGAAAAGAAAACTGGCAGTCTTATTCTTTAGAAGGCCTAGAGCA